GACTTTTATTTGAAATATTGCTAATTTATTTAATATTTTATTTTCCAGATTTAAGGAAACTTTTTTCTTGAGGTACCTATAGCAATTTGGTAATGTATACTTATGTGAATAATATTAAAATGTTTGCTTTTGTCCGGGTGCAGTGGCCCACGCCTGTAGTCCCAGCACTTTAGGAGGCTGAGGTGGGCAGATCATGAGGTCAGGAGTTCGAGACCAGCCTGACCAACAGGCGAACTGATTGAACCCTGGAGGTGGAGGTTGCACTGAGCCCAGGAGGTGGAGGTTGCAGTGAGCCGAGATTGCACCATTGCACTCCAGCCTGGGCAACAGAGCCAGACTCCGTCTCAAAAAAAAAAAAAAAAGGTTTGCTTTTTGTCCATATCTTAAAATTAAAAAGAAAACTATTCATGAGTATTTGAAATTTTATAACAATGTATAACAATATGCAATGTAAATTGTTAATTATATTAGCAAGGTTTGGCTTAGACATATTTAAAAATCCTTATAGGTACTTCGGATAAAATCTGAAGCCCATCTTGATTTAAACTTCTTGCTTCAAAAGTTAAAAAAAAAAGTTCAATCTGAGATTCAATCACTATTCTCACTGTACTTATGTAAATACTCAGGACAAATCTGACAAAACTAATTTATTTTACATACAAATTAGTCTTACTCTGAGTACTTTAGTAAAATTAGTATGACAATGATATACCTGTTATTAGACTGTAGTTCTGTGAGTTTTTTCAAGTTTTATTACATACTTGTAGAAGGGACTGGATTTTAAATTCTTCTGGTTTCCTCTAATCCAGTTTTCTCCTATGGAATTTTAAAATGGAATTACTAGCAATGGGAACTGCTCTTTTCTAAAGCTCTGTAAGCTAAAACTAAACAACTTAATATAAATTACAGGGGACAAGCCTTGTGCCTGATATGTGGGTCACACAGAAAGTTCACGAAACTTCCCGATGCCATAGCCAGAGGCATTCAGACTGCAAAATTGCTGACTTCACACTGTGGACAGTGTTTACCAAGACCGTTGGAACAAGACGTCGTAATGAGATTCTCTCCCCTTGTAATGCTTGCCTTTTTCACTTGACAGCATAATGCCATAATTAAAAATTTCACAATCAGTAACAATTACGGGCAACTGAACAAGACCTGATCTAAGAAATCCTTTAGTCTACCTACTGGGTAGCTTTGGCAATGTCCCTAACTACTTTTTGTTCCTATTGTCCTAGTGGCCCCTTTTACAGAGTTAGCGTTCTCTGCTTTAATTTAACCCAGTCATGGAATACTACTCAATGGCTATGGCAAGTCTTACCCAGTTCTCCATGGTCTTTTGATTTGTTTCGTTGGTTGCCCTTAGGCTTGGCAGAACCATTGCATAAACTAGATTTGTCATACTCCTGTTGTTTTTACATTGTAAAACAACTGGTCTCGAACATGTGTTCGAGGAACAAGATGTGCACCTATTGTCCGTCAAATCTCTGCAGAAATGCAACTTCTAATAGAGTGATGTTTGTCTAGTGTTTTAAAATGATCTGTGGAACAGATGAAATCAAACCTGATGACATCCAGACAGACTAAACCTGAGAGTGTCTCCTTATGGCCTTCTTGTTGCTCAAATGTGGCCAAAATGGCTTGATACTGACTTCCAGTTGATAATCACCTCCCCCTGATGTTGTCTAAGAATACCTATCCAGGACAGGTCCATCCCAGCACCCAGGACATTCAAAACCTGACTACAGGCTGATTGATCTTTCTCCAAAGAAAGATCTTGATCAAAACAGGGAAATGTGAAAGTTGCAGATATGAAGATAAAGTTTTGTCAAACTCAAACAAATTTGAGTCAGGGAGGCATGAAAGAGAAGGGCTCATGCTTGCATATCCCAGATAAGGCTATCTCAAGGACTTTCTAAAATAACTCCACAAGAAATTCCTTCACATCTTTCACATATCTCATTCTTTTCATGACTTAACATTCTGCACATATGCAAACATTTCTATTACCAGATTTACTATTAGACATTCTTTAGAACTGTAGCAATTCAGATAAGATGCTGTTGAAAGAACCCTTGCCTGGTAATGGCATCTCCACCAATGAACTGATGCCAACTCTGGCTTTGAGCTTCTGGAAAAAATGAACTCTTTCCAAGCAGCTTATATGAACTTATCCTTTTTTGCTAATAAAACCTTTCCCTTACCATCTCCTCTTTACGTCTGTGGCTTACTATGGCTGTGCTATAGTAAGATTACATTATAGTAAAGTTATATTATAGTCTGAGTAGATTATAATATACTATAATCTGTGCCCAGATTATAATTCTTTTTTTACCTACTTTTGGACAAATACATTAAATTAGGAGATAATTATCTCTGATGTCTTTTTTAGCTTGATGCCATCCTCTCTAATATCTTCTGTCTTGAAAAAAGAAAGGAGGAAACCCTCCCTTGATCTTAGGCCCCTCTCCACCCTTGTCCTATTTACCTTCTCCCCTTCCCAGAAAAATAATTGAGAAAGTTATTTGTTGTCCCATGTCTGCTTTCTTTCTTTCTTTCTTTCTTTTTTTTTTTTTCCGAGACTTAGTCTTGCTCTGGTGCCCAGGCTGGAGTGCAGTGGCACAATCTTGGCTCACTGCAACCTCTGCCTCCCAGGTTCAAGCAATTCTCCAGCCTCAACCTTCCTAGTAGCTGGGACTACAGGCACATGCCACCGTGTCCAGCTAATTTTTGCATTTTTAGTAGAGATGGGGTTTCACCCCATCATGTCGGCCAGGCTGGTCTCAAACTCCTGACCCCAGGCGATCCACCCACCTACGCCTCCCAAAGTGCTGGGATTACAGGCGTCAGCCAACGCTCCTAGCTCTCTGCTTTCTTACCTATTGTCTTCTCAACGTATTCAAATTGGCTTTCTTTTTCTGTGCTTTGAGACCCTGCTTGCCTAGGTCTTGAGTTACTTCCAAATTGTCAAATCTCATGGTCACTTCTCCATCTGAGCTCTCAACAGCATTTGACCCAGTGGACTAGTCTCTGCATACAACACCTTATATACTTGCTCAGAGTTCTGGGCTCAGGGGCTATTCCTTCAGGCGTCTGTTAATGGCTCCTTCTCATGCCCTTGCCTCTAAATCCCGGAATCACCCAGGCCCTGACTTGGGTACCTCCTCTTTTCTAACTTTGCATGCTCCCAAGGTAGCTTCCTTAGCTGCACAGATTTACGTACAATCTATACATTGATTTCTCTCTAAATTTTCTAGCCCAGATGCTTCTCCTGTATGCAGACTGATAAATCTAAGTGCCTGCATCACCTTTTCCCTTGGATATTTAAAAAAAATCTCAAATTTAAGATATTCAAATGCCAACTCTTAATTATCTCTACCCCAACCTGTTTTTCTACTTGTGATCGCTCAAGTAAAACAAAACAAAGCAAAGTAAAACAAAAACCAGCACTCATCCTTGACATTTCTTTCTCTTATTCCCAATTCATTAGCAAGTCTTTCCTCTTGGTTCTACTTTCAAAATACAACCATTTGCTTTTCTCCATCTCTGCTACTATCATCCTGGTCCTGACCATCATTTCTTGCCCGCATGACTCTAGTAGCCTCCTAACCATTTTCCTCACCAGCTACAATTAATTTGCCCACAATGGCCAGGATGTTCTTTTTAAAAATGTACCTTAGCGCCTGTAATCCCAGCACTTTGGGAGGCCAAGGTGGGTGGATCACGAGGTCAAGAGCTCGAGACCATCCTGGTCAACATGGTGAAACCCCGTCTCTACTAAAAATACAAAAAATTAGCTGGGCATGGTGGCGTGTGCCTGTAATCCCAGCTACTCAGGAGGCTGAGGCAGGAGAATTGCCTGAACCCAGGAGGCGGAGGTTGCGGTGAGCTGAGATCGCGCCATTGCACTCCGGCCTGGGTAACAAGAGCGAAACTCCGTCTCAAAAAAAAAAAAAAAAAATGTGCCTCAGGCCGGACGTGGTGGCTCACACCTGTATCCCAGCACTTTGGGAGGGAGGCTGAGGTGGGTGGATCACCTGAGGTCAGGAGTTTGAGACCAGCCTGACCAATATGGCAAAAACCAGTCTCCACTAAACATGCAAAAATTATTGGGGGTGTGGTGGTACACGCCTGTAATCCCAGCTACTTGGGAGGCTGACGTAGGAGAGTTGCTTGAATCCGGGAGGTGGAGGTTGCAGTGAGCCAAGATCGTGCCACTACACTCCAGCCTGGGCAACAGAGTGAGACTCTCTCTCAAAAAAACAAAACAAAACAAAACAAAAACCATATCTTGGTATATGTTCTATGGGTACATTAAAACAATGTGTATCTGCTGTTGTTGAGTGGAGTGTCCCAAATAAATCATCTAAATATTGATTTGCTCTTGTTGGGTGATAGTGTTACTGAGTTCTTCTGTAACCTTACTGACTTGCTGTCTAGTTCTATTAATTGTTGAGATAAGTCTCTAGCTGTAATTATGGATCTGTCTCTTCTTTCATTGCTATCAGTATTGCTTTATATAATTTGCAGCTCTGCTGTTTGCTGCATACACATTTAGGATTGCCATGTCTACTTAGTGCACTCACTGTTTTATTATCATATAATGTTCCTCCCTGTCTCTGATAATTTTCTTTCCTCTGAAGTCTATTGAATATTAACATAGGCAATCCTACTTTTTTTTTCTTTTGTCCTGCTTTCTTTGGATTAATGTTTGCATAACATACATATTTTTCGACTTTCAACTGCCTGTATTGCTATATTTGATTTTTTTTTTTTTTTTTTTTTGAGGCAGAGTCTCAGTCCGTCACCCAGCCTGGAGTGCAGTGGTGCCATCTCAGCTCACTGCAACCTCCGCCTCCTGGGTTCAAGTGATTATCCTGCCTCAGCCTCCCAAGTAGCTGGGAGTAGCCCAGCTAATTTTTGTATTTTTAGTAGAGATGGGGTTTTGCCACGTTGGCCAGGGTGGTCTTGAACTCCCCTGACCTCAAGTGCTCTGCCCACCTCAGCCTCCCAAAGTGCTGGGATTACAAGCATGAGCCACTGAGCCTGGTCTGAAGTTTGTTTTTTATAGACAACCTATAGTTAGGTTATGCTTTTTAATCTACTGTGCCTGTGTTCCTTTTACTTGGTGTATGTAGACCACTTACATTTAATGTAATTATTTATATGTTAGGGCTAAAGGCTGCCATTTTATTTTGTGGGTATTTATTCGCTTGTTTGTTGGCTCTGTTTTTAATTTCTTTTCTTTTCTTTCCTGTATTCCTGTGTGTTAGGTGAAAGTTTTTAGTCTTCCATTTTGTTTTATATGTGTTTTTTGAGTATACCTGTTTATATTACATTTGTTGTGGCTGTTCACATGTGTGTGTATACATATGCACACATGTTATCAAAGTCTACTGATGTCATCATTTTACCAGTTCAAGTGAAGTGTAGAAAACTAACCTCCCTTTGTCTTCCATTGCCCTTCCCTATTTATAATATAATTTCATTAAATATTTCTTCTATATACATTTAGAAACACATTAGACAGTATTATAATTGGGCTTTAACCGTCAAATATAATTTAGAATACTTATGGAAAGGAGTCTATTATGTTTGCCCATACTTTTGCTTATCATGTTCTTCTTTTCTGATGTTCCATGATTCTGTTTATTATTGTTTCCTTTTTTAGAGAACCTTCTTTAGCCCTTCTTTCAGGGTAGGTCTGCTGGTAACAAATTCTCTTAGTTTTCCCTCTGCTGAGGATATCTTGATTTCTCCTTCATTTCTGAGGATATTTACTTAGGATATAAGATTCTGGGTTGATGGTTCTTTTCTTTAAGGAATTGAAAAATATTGTGCCACTTTATCCTGGTTTTTGTAAAGTTAAATTTTTAAATAAGCAGGAGGCCATTAACTTGAGACTGTTTTAATTACTAATGAACCACAGCCTAACAGTATGTAAACAAACTAAAAGCTAACTTAGAAGTATAACAAACAGCCAAGTTTCAGCCAGTCACAGGCAGTTAGCTGATCAGACTATGCTCAAATAAGGCAAATACTCATTACACCATACTCAAATAAAGCAGATGGCCAGTTGTAGGCAATCAAGTGATTTCATGACTTTGCTTCTGTGTCTGGCCTATAAAAGTTTACTACGCCGGGCGCGGTGGCTCACGCCTGTAATCCCAGCACTTTGGGAGGCCGAGGCAGGTGGATCACGAGGTCAAGAGATCGAGACCATCCTGGTCAACGTGGTGAAACCCCGTCTCTACTAAAAATACAAAAAATTAGCTGGGCATGGTGGTGCGTGCCTGTAATCCCAGCTACTCAGGAGACTGAGGCAGGAGAATTGCCTGAACCTAGGAGGCGGAGGTTGCGGTGAGCTGAGATGGCGCCATTGCACTCCAGCCTGGGTAACAAGAGTGAAACTCTGTCTCAAACAAAAAAAAAAAAAAAAAGTTTACTACTCATACTACTGGGCAGAGGTCTCTGAACTTCTACTGGTTCTGAGTGCTGCCTGATTCATGAATTGCCCTTTGCTGAAATAAACGCAATTGAGTTTGTCTACACTGTTTCATTTATCAGTGATTTTCGATGAGAAGCCTGCTGTAATTCAAACTGTTTTTGTCTATAGGTTAGGTGTTATTCTCTCAGTGCTTTCAAGATATTTTTTTGTCTTTAGATTTTAGAAGTTTGACTATGAGGTGTCTTGGTGTGGATTTCTTTTGCTTTATCCTGTTTGGGATTTACTTAGTTATTTGAATTTGTAGGCTGTCTTTTGCCAAATTTGGTAAATTGTTAGCCACTATCTCTTTGAGTGCTTTACCAGTCCTGCCTTTTTTCCCCTTCTCTTTTTGGAATGCTAATGACACGAATGTTAGATCTTTTGTTGTGGTCCCTCATGTCCCTGCAGCTCTGTTCTTTTTCTTATTTTTTTCCCCCAGTTTGTTTTCTCTCTGTTATTCAGATTGGGTAATTATTATTGTTCTATCTTCCAGTTCACATTTTTTTTTTCTCTGTTTCTGCATTCGGTGGGTGAGATATATAGGCTATTTTTTAAAAATTTCAGTTATTATATATTTCAGTTCTAGAATGTCCATTTAGCTTTTCTTCATATGTTCCACTTATTTGCTAAGACTTTCTGTTTTTCACTGCTTCTAGCACCTTCACAGTTGCTTGTTGGCTTCTTTAGAATCTTTGTCAGATAATTTTAATGATTCTGTGATCTTGGTGCTAGCATCTACTGACTTATCTTTTCTCATTCAACTAGAAATCTTCTTGGGTTTTGACATGATGATTTTTTAATTAAAATCTGGGCATTTGGGGCTATGATATTATGAGACTCTGGATCTTATTTAAATTGTCTGGTTTTGCTTGTTTTCTTTGACATTGCGCTGGTAGGGGACATGGGGGGCACTGCCTTGTTACTTCCAGGTGGGGAAGTCTCTTCTCAGACTCCACTGACACTCAAGATGGCTCATTGTTGCTGAGGGGGAGTGAGAGTTTGGGCTATTAGGCCTCCACTGATAACAAGGCGCTCCTACCCTTCTCTGGCTGGGAGGAGTGGGAGAGTCTTGTTACTGCTCTGCACATGGCCTCAACTGACACCATGGGAGGGGCAGACTCAGTACCACCAGGTAGTTCTGACTTTCCACTAGGCATCCTTTGACATCACCCCAGTGGGGAGGAGGAAGGGCACCTCATTACTGCTGGTGGAGATGAAAGTTCAGGCTCCCTACATGCTCTCCACTACCACCAAAGTTGGGGGTGGGTGGGCATTGTTACTGCCTTGTGGGGTCTACTTGGCCTTCTCTGACACTACTCAGGGGTGAGGAGGGTGGTGGGCTGTTGGTTACCTCATTTCAGTCAGGCAAGGGTAGAAGTCTAGGCCCCCATTCATCTTTTGCTGGTGGGGATAGGGTTATGGCCACATTTTGTTTTTTCTGTGGTGTGTGGCTGGAGTAGAGCAGTTATTGTCCAAATGTTTTCTGTCTTGCTAGGCTGCCCCTTGCTCAGTCCCTTGGCTATAGAGAGCAGACCTTTGTTGGGGCTTTTCTTGTACCCATGGCATTTCCATGTTGCCAGCTTCTTCAGCTCCAAATCTTGGACACGTGAGGGAAAAAGAAAACTGAGGGAACCCATGACCATGTCCTTTCTTGGGCCCCAGGGTCCCAAGCTGGTGTGTCTTCTTCTCTCCACCTTGCAGAGTCTTCTTATGTTTGTGTTCTATGTAATGCCCAGGGTTTTTCATTATAGTTAGTGTGAAGAATAGAGAAAAGTATATCTACTCCATCTTCCTGAAGCAGAAGTCCTCTGTGCTACCCAGTTTTAAATCCCTTCTTAGCAGATGTTACTGTCTGATAATCTCTTGTCCTATTTATCCCTTTGGTATCCCGAGTCCCTCAAGCGCTGCCTAGCACATGGTAGCTGTACAGTAATTACATGCTAAATGTCAAATGGACATTCAGTAGGTGGTGATGATGGTGAACTGGGGCCTGGAGGTCCTGCTTCTGTTTACCTGCAGCCTGTTGTTTGCCTAGGTCCTCTTGATTTTTCTGGAGGGGGGAATGCTCAAAATCAAGATTTCATATGAAATGTCCTAGTTTTGAAATATTGGCTGTTAATTTCAATTTTTAAAAAGCTATGCAGACCAAAGAAACATGTGCGATTAATTATTATGATCCATTGCCAAATGGTTGGCAGCTTTTTTTCTTATTGTCTTAGGTAAGCGTCTATTGCTTGGATGGTTCGTCTGCAGGTTGCCTTTTTCTCAGTTTTGAATAGCGGAAGGATGTTACCTGCTCACCCATAGCATGGCCAGTATTTGCTCAGGAGCTGCATGTGGTCTCTGTAGAGACAACTCCTGGCTTTTTGTCTGAGGATGTTCCTGGAAACCTCATTGGAAGGCAGACTGGATAGTAATGAACTGAATGCTTGCCCTTGTGCTGTCGTGTTTGGCCCTTGAAGGAGCCTGGCTGGCAGAATGTGAGAATTGAGGCATGATTGGGGATAAGGGCAGAGAGCTGTCAAGTCATGATACAGATTTGACGGTGCTGAGTGGGCAGAGCAGCAGAAGGCAGGCTTTGAGATGAGTGGGCAGCCTCACAAGTGGGCTGAGCAGAGGCTGGCAAGAAATGAGGTGGAGGGAGTTCTTTGTTTGTAGTGACCTATTTAGGAATCTTTTCAGAACAGGATGCAAGCATGGATGTTCTCTAGAATGTTATAAGGCAGATATAATTCCCTCCTTGGTGGTCCCATGGAGCCTTACCTCAGTGTCAAAGTGATGCATCTTAAAACCTATGTTAATAAATTTTATATAATTATAACTGCATCTATAAAAACATAATTTTATGTATAATTTTATATAAAAATTTGTTTTTAAAGAAAAGTTAACTAGGCTGGGCACGGTGGCTCATGCCTGTGATCCAAGCACTTTGGGAGGCTGAGGCAGGCAGATCACATGAGGCCAAGAGTTCTAGATCAGCAGGGCCAATGTGGCAAAACCCCATGTGTACTAAATATACAGAAATTAACCAGGCGTGGTGTAACAGGCCTGTAATCCCAGCTACTCAGGAGGCTGAGGCAGGAAAATCGCTTCAACCTGGGAGACAGAGGTTTCAGTGAGCAGAGATTGCGCCACTGCACTCTAGCCTGGGCGACAGAGAGCTTCTGTCTCAAAATAAAAAGAAAAAAGTTAACCAGCATTCTTGAATTTTACCCATCCTGGATCTCTGCTACTTGCCTTGGTGTCCTAAACCAAGTGCATTTTCCAAGAAAAGACAGTCATTGCCTAAAACAAATTGTCACATGTTATACTGAAATTATTTTGGTTACTTATTGTGCCTGTCTTCCAGGTATTGCATATAGAAGTCTTGGGAGATGCTTGCTGAGTGAACGAATGTTTGCGCTCTTTTCTCATGACTTCACACTCACAGTGCACAGAAGTCTGAGGTTTGTAGACTACTGATTGCTAAAGAATTGGGATGTTGCACCAAAATTAAAATTTTCTTTATTGTATTATTTTTTGTATTTAACTCTGGCATCTACTTTGTTTGGAGCTTTTGTAATGTTGGCGTTCAGGGGCTCAGGGGAGCCCTCAGTTCCCCTGAGAGGATGTTTCTCCAGGTTCTTGGTCTATCACTCTCCAAGAACGGGAGAGGAGACCACAGTGCAGTGCGCAGTAAATGCTGGACTCAAAAGTGTTGTAGAAAGTGATTTATTTAGGTAGAGAGGGAAAAGGGGGAAGGAGAGAGAAAGAAACAGCTAGCTCTCACACTGAATGAGGGAAAGAAAAGCCGCTCTCACACTAAGTGAGAAGGGTTCCCAGAGGGAGAAAACCAGAGAAGGAAAACTCCCCTCACACGGAGTGAGAGAATCCGGAAAGATGGGATCCAGGAGAGGAAAGCAGCCTACACACTGAGTGGAAGGGAATAGAGAGAGAGATGGAGTTTAGGAGGGGAAGACAGGCTTCCACCACGGTGTGGAAGGGGACTCCAGAGGGGAAATCCAGGAGAGAGAAAGACTGCTTACGTGAAGGGAGTGTTTGTGGAAGGGGACCCAAACATGGAGTCCAAAGGGGCGTGGAAGAAGGGGACTTTTAATCTGGGAGGAACCCCCACCTTCCCCAAGACCTCTGGCCAATGAGAGGAGTTCCTTGGAACTTCCGCTGGAGTGATTGACTTTTGATTCTCCCTGCGCCCACGAAATTTAAAACAGAAACCGTTAAATCTCCCGGATGGAGAGGGATGGAGAGAGATGGGATGGGGGCATGGTGCTGGGAAGTTCTTGCCCTTAAACCTCCGCCCCCTTGTGGACCCTGAAAGGGACCACATTCCCTCACTTTTTCTTTTATAAATAAATAATTAGGAGTCAGGACTTCTAAACGTTTTATCTTCATATCCAGGAAAAATGTTTTGCAGTCGGTTAACCAGCCACCACGTGAGTATTGATCATGATACTAATTAGCTTTATTTTGCAGATGTGGTGGATGCTATACAAAGTATTTTAGTGGAAGAGCCTCATTTAATCCTCATAATAACTATCAAAAATATAATATTTTTATCCTCCTTCTACAAAAGAGGGAATTGAGGCTTGGCAAGGTCTAGTAAAATATGCTCAAGGCTATACTGGGCTTTCCAGGTCTCAAGAGCAGGCTTGTGTGATTCCAAGGCAAGTACTATACAGTGTTTGCTACCATCATGTGAGATAAATATTTATGTTTGTATTTGTCATCATTGCATGAAATAAATCTGTTGCTATTCTCTAGCCTTTTCCCTATGATTCTGAATCCTTGTATAAATTTAAGTTGTTTTCATCATTCATTAGAGCCAGATGTCATTTATTTACACTCTGTATTACAGAGAATACTCTAAAACAAGAGTTGGCAAAACATTTGGTGTGTGGGCCAAATATGACCCACTGCCTTTTTTATTGTACAGCTTGTGAGCGAAGAATGGTTTTTGTAGTATCTTTTAATGGTTGAAAAAAAATTAAAAGAATAAAAATATTTTGAGACACATGATAATTACATGAAATTCAAATTTTAGTGTTCATACATAAAGTTTTATTGGAACACAGCCATGTTCATTTACCTATGTGTTATCTGCGGCTGCTTTTGTATTACAAGGGCAGAGTTGAGTAGTTGTAGCAAAAGACAGCATGGAGCACAAAGCCTGAAATATTACTATGTGGCCCTTTACAGAAACTGTTTGCCAACAGTTGTTCTAAACTGTAAGTCTGGGGAATTGAAGTATGGTGGTATGCATGTTTCTGAAGCCCTGGA